GTACCTCATTAAGAGGCATATATATTGGGTTCATATACAAAATTTAGGGATAAGCCGGAGAGTTAACTTGAATATGGCTGTGAGAATAATAGCCCATTGTGAGGATGCCTGTTTAATGACAGACGAGAGTTGAGCATCTTTTGACCGGGTACAATGCCAGCAAGAATGTGCTAATAATGCCTGCTGATGCTTGGCTGGGAGGAGTCGGACGTCGCTTTCAGATGCGATCAATCGGCACATCGCTATAGCACACACTGCCTCAAAGTGGAAGTGGGTTCACACATTTTTGGTAAATCAACCAAAAAGAACTTGTTACTTTTTATACTTTGACTGGCTTGACTACTTCATGCCAATATTTGGTGATTGCGGATGGGCAAAGTGAATTCACGAAAAGCTCGTGAAATGGATGTGATCACAACTGTTTCCTCAACCAAATAGACTAGCATGTAATCATGCAATGCTGACGCTTGCTGTGCTGTTGACATGTTAGAATGCACAACACACTCCAGGTTAGTCAACTCTTTTCCTTTTACTCTGCCACTCTTTCTCTTTTGCTCTCTTCCCTCAGCAAACTGATAGTCATAAGTACATTCTACGCCATCTTCTCTTATTCAGAATGTTGTTTGTTTGCTTTATAATCTTTATTTTTCGCATTTAAGTATTGTTTACGTGCTAATCAGTATATCAGTAGTATGAGATGCATTCGCCCAATTTCGTTTAAGGTGACGAAGGACTGGTAGAAGAAGCATTTTCCCACAATCATATGAGTTGAGCTGACGTTTCCATTCAATTTCACATAGCCTTGCTTTCACAAAAGTTGTTCTCATCCCGGCTGGGGTGGACTGCAGTTTCCACCTCGCATCGGTCCAATCAACATCCCCAGCGGGAGTCGAACCGTGACAGTTCAGAATGTGAGAATGACATGTTAACCACTCGACCACATTGCCACGTGTGTCTTGGTTCACAATGGAAGATGTAAATTTTGTCATATCGCACACATTCTTTGGTGCGATTGTCGACGAAGCAAACGCCTATTTGCTATAGCAATCGACTGCGCTACTTATTCTCGTATTTGAGTAGTGTTTTGAGGCTACCAGTCAATCAGCAATTTGAGAGGTATTCACCCTATTTCGAAACTCTACTCAAATACGAAAATAACATTTTATAGACAATTTCACCGGCTCCCTCCTCATCAGCCCAAGTTGGCATCAAACTGTGACTCAAACTCGGGTCGGTCGACTCGAAAAAGACAAGAACCCAACTCCAACTGCAGCCTCAGGCGGCCGAGTTCACTTTGCACGAGGCACGAGACTCCGACCTGCACGGCCATTTCTGGCCGGTAGGTTCTCACACTCGGAACCCAGTTAAAGAGGTCACCACTCGGCTTCTGTGTGAAGAGCTTTGGGGTCACATTCTAAGACTCAGTCCAAAGGCATCAGCCAGCCAGCAAGCCAGCCAGGCACTGTTTGCTGTAGCAGAAACAGTTGCCTACCCAACCAAATGAATTCAGCCCTACCGTCAGCAGCCATTGGCGTTTGGCTTTCCACCATTCTCAGGCCACATCGAAACTACAATCTTTGTCCGCTCAAGTGGTGCAATGCAGTAAGTAGTAGGTGAGACAGCTTCTGACGAGAACCCACGACATGTGTGTGTGTGTGTGTGTGTGTGCATCTGCATGTGAATGTACACATTTATGTCTGCCTGCCTGTATTTGTACGTGCTTGCAATCGCTTGCATGTGTTTGTATACATGCGTATTTATACACATGTGTATGTGTATGTGTATGTGTGTGTGTGTGGGTATACAGATGTTGAAGATTTTATGGCACACAATAATCTGTATTGTGGATAAATGATCTGCAAAGTTTATTGTCTTTCAATGCTTTCTCATTTAATTATTTACCCATTGTGAGAAGTTGCCAACGCACAGGCTCCTCGGAAATCTGGCATTGTCGATTTGTTGTGTCTCTTTGCCTTCGGTTGCACCCTTCATTGGCATTAACGCGTAGTGGTAGTGGGTTCAGCGATGTCGATTGGCTCCCTTTCCCCCACCCCCCCTAAGGGTCATCTTGGAAGAGAGGCACAGGTGCTAAGACGTTTTATAGGATGCATTCATCCTATTTCTTTTCAGGTTACGAATGAATGGTAGTTGAAATTTCCCACAATCATATGAGTATAGCTGAAGCTTCTGGTGAATTTCACATAGTCTTGCATTCCTAAAGGCATTCTCATTCCTCATCTCGGTCTTATCGACACCCTCGGCGGGACTCGAACTTTGCTTCATCGACGATCCCTCCACAGAATGTGATATGGAAAAATGCCTGACCTTCCTTGGAATTCACATCTGCCCTGTGGCAAAGGATACTCGTGACAATGTGGTGTGGTTGCCAACATGTCGAGATTGCACGTTACACTGACATGGTTCGAGTCCCGCTGGGAGTGGTGTTGAGATCGAGATGGGATTTAGACTGCAGGGCACCTCTGTCGAAATGAAAATGCCATTTAGGAAAGCAGGCCTATGTGAAATTGAGCGGAAATATCAGCTCTGCTCATATGATTGTGTCCTTCATCATCTTAAACAAAATGGGGTAAATACATATCATGTGACTTTTGCTTCCTGTTCAAATGCATGATAAAGCGATTTTTCGGTTGATTTGACCTGAATTCGACGACTGCCTTCCGATATTCTTCGATATTTTCTTTTTAATACAGGCTATAATTGGTCATTCTGTAGCCTGACTTACATGCCTACAAAACATAGATTTCAGCATCTCAACCAGCGTCACTTTCAGACACGCTTTTCAATGGCTCATCTCGTCTTGGTAACCAAGGCTTGATTTGAGGCTCTTTTCTAATTATTCTCAATTATCATCGGTATTTAGCACTCTGACTTACACGCATACAGATGGTATCACACACACACACACCCACATTGTCAAAGATGGACAGACACACTCTTTTGCAAGTGCCCTGATTAATAGGAAATTGAACTAACCAAATCATTCTATATCCTTCCATATCCATATAGTTATATTTACAAGTTTATATATATATATATATATATGAGTTTATATAAAATGGAGGATAGAATCGAGTAGTCTACTTATACTTGGTGGTAAATTGCAACCTTTACAGGAATGAGTTCGAGCTCTGATGAGGCCCGTCAAGTGGCATGACTGACGAAATGTGAGCCAATTTTTGCCACAAACGAAGCAGGATGCGTCTTGGATTGCGTCAAACTGAGCATCATGACAAAGTCAAACGACTGCTGAACCACGTCAATCAGCCGACGTCTTCCGGTACAAGTGACCTACGAATCTCTTCGTCCGAAATGAAGAAAAAAACTGGGTTTCGAAGAATGCCTTGTTGAAATATTGCAGCATGACTCTCCATTTCGAAGGGTAGGTTGGTCGGAGGAATTCGTAATGTGGTCCCGCCGCAAAGCGAAGTAGAATTGCCGCGTCGAGAAGACTGTTTAGTTGTGCTAAGCTTTTGTCTGTACCGCCGTGACAGACAGCATCAGAGCAAGATTACATACTTTACGAAATAGGTCAAAAATATACAAAACCAAGAAAAGGAGGCCGGCTGCAACTTAAATTCACAAGCATGTTGAGCAGTAGTGCGTCGACCTCTTTGTCGCAACTTGGTCTTGTTGTCATGGCGACTATGTAGAACGCACCGAGTCCGAAGTCGTCTGGCATAGTAGTTGTCATGATTCCCAGTATCTGACAGTGGACTTGATACATTCTCAGACGTTTCGCCGGCATCGTAGTCGGCATCATCAGTGAGCTTTACCGGCGAAACGTTTGAGAATGTACCAAGTCCACTGTCAAATGCTGCGAGTTATGACAGCTACTATGACAGACGACTTCGGACTATGTGCCTTCTACATAGTCGCCCTGACAACACGACCAAGTTGTGACAACGAGGTCAACCCACTTCTATAAATCGAAACGAGACTGCGACCATGACAGAGGCCACAACATCTTGGTCTTCATAGATTCATGTAGAGTAGGTTGAGGTAACCAACTAAATCAGGAGATGCCTCAATAAGATCGTGAGTGTGTCTAAAAAAGCAACTAACATGGCACTATAAGATGTATTCACCCTATTTCGTGTGAGGTGATGAATGATTGGTAGTCGAATTTTCCCACAATCATATGCGAAGAGCTGACTTTTACATTTAGTTTCACATAGCCTTCCTTTTCCAGAATAACTTTGGGGAAAGCAAAGCTATGTAAAATTGAATGGAATCGTCAGCTCTCCGCATATGATTGTGGGAAAATTCGACTACCAATCATTGGTCACCTTGCACGAAATTGGATGAATACATCTCATACTACTGATTTAATGGCAGTCTCGAAACTCTACTTACATACAAAACATAAAATCGAACTGTTGGATTGTGAGAATGGACAGACGGATGGTCAGCATGAATTTATCGGAGTCTAAGAATGCGGAGTCAAGAGCAGCCAACCATTTGACGATCAGAAGCACCGCCAAGTACCTCTTTGCTCAGATTGCCAAGCCTTTGGGTCAGTTCTTCTCGAGATCCGACCGCCGTCGATTAGGGACGAGCCACTTTTTGGACTATCAATTGTCTTTCATATGTCCACATCTGCATACATGCATAGACACACACGCTCAAAGATGTGTATTAAGGCGCATATATCGTAGGAAAAGAGCTTCTATGCCCACTAGCGTATGATTTTGATAAATTGTAAGCTCAGGCTTGCTATATGAATGTCAGTTTAGGACATTATGTCGAAAAAGGAGTGAGATGTGTCAATCAATGCGTAAACGTAAACGTATCATTAAAAGCGAACCACATCAGAATGGGAAGATTCCACCATCGCCTTCGCTGAGATCAAAAACCAGTTGTTTTGTAGGAACACTTAAAGTGTGATTTTTGAGAGGTCTGGTCCAACTTGACATTCCCACCTTACTTTTAAGCTACCAGCATCCATGGCTATGCAGAAGAGGGGTAATGTGCTGGCAAGGTGCACAAGACTCTGGCTCGAGTCCCGTTGGGGCTGCAGATATGATCCGGACGAGGTGGAAATTGCACTTGTGGCCTGGCCGAGAAGTGATGAGACTACAATTTAAGGTGCAAGTACAAGTTGAAATCAATTGCATTTGATGATGTGCAACTTGTCAACAAGACAAGACGAATTGTAGATATGAAAGCAAAAGGTTGTAGCCGTTATTTTGGTTGCTATTGTTTTCGTAACTTGGTCATATTGGCAGGAAGATCTATAGCAACGCATCGGACAAGGTTCGTTCCGGTGCGCTGACATCGCCGACTTTGATGCAGACGAAATGTCTGGTAATGTACCAAGTCCACGGTTTGACGGTGGGAATGATCATAACTAATTAATTTTCTTTTTCGAATTAAGTATTGTTTTTCGTGTCTACCAGTAAATCAGTAATATGAGATGCGAGGTCGAAACTGCATCTCATATTAATTATGTACTGGTAGTCACAAAAGCAATACTCAATTCGAAAAATAAAGTAAATTGTCAATATGAGATGTATTCACA